CTTACTACCCAAGCTTCTAATCTTTACAGCTTTTCACAACTATAAAAGCCCTTATTAGAGATTAGTTTTTAAATCAGTCCTCAATTTCCATTCTCCCATTTCTTTTCTCGCACGGGGAAGCCTTCTTTCTTTTTGATTTATATAATGGGATTAAAATTTGATTAAGATTAAAAGAACTGTGACTTACTTGCTCGAGTGAGTAATCTTGAAAGAAGAACTGTTTGATGTTGCAGAGGCAGAGTTCTTCAAACGTAAACTGATGACAGTCTTATTGGCCTATCTTCCGCATGTTTAATGTGTTCTGATTGAATGGTAAGGATTTGGAATAATTATTTCTGTTATATACCATAAGTTCCAGCCCACTTATGATTACTTTTGTTCATTACAGTTCCTTTTATTGACTCTGTCTTCGTAGCATGACAGATAAGCTGTCCAGTGGGTGCTTGTAGTAATTAATTACTTCTCTTACCATAACTTTGAGCATAATTTTAACTATTTTTATTATTTTGTTACAGAAATGAAATGTGAAGGTGACTCAGGTACTTATGCAGTCCATACATCTGAGTTCCTTGCACGCGAAAAAGCCAAGACTTTGATCTGATGGAGCATGCTTGTTTTGATATATTGATATCTCTGAAGATTGGTTTATAATTCTGTAGTATCTTCCAGGATGCATGGTGCTATTCTATTTGATGAGACGACTTGTATTAATTAGCCATTATAGAATGAACTGCGCTTTCCTCCGGAAATAAATAAATAAATAAGTTGCACTGTTTGTTGGCCCACCCGAAAAAAAACACGGTGGACTGGAATGTGCTTCTAATTAGAAATGACCCCTTATCATATGTTTAATTATTAAATAAAAATAACCAACAGGGGTTGGTCTGAGTGGTAAACGGCTCACTTCCGCTTAAATGAGGTCTCGCTGGGAGACTCACCCACCATACCCAGGTGCGCGACGCGAGTCGGATCTGGACGTAGTCAGGGCAAAGCTCTGGTGAATCGGGTGGGGAACAAAAAAAATTATTAAATAAAAATAGTATTCGATTAAATATGTATTTCAGATAATAAAATATTATATAATTAATAATTTTTTAAAATAATTCAATAATAAAATAGTTTTCTGCATTTGTATAATATTTAATAATCATTGCGTCATAACTCAAAAAAAGAAATATAATCACTCATAACCTAGTTTCTTTTGTTCATCAAAAATTCAACTAAAGTATACATTTAGTTTTTTTATCTTTATATAACGTTTTATTTTTCTCTTTTAACTTTAAAAAGTATATTTTTAGTTTTTTAATTCTAAAATCATTAATCTATGATTTTTATAATAATCATAGTTATTTTGGAAATTAAATTTAATGTATTAGTATTTGAGAATGTTTTATCAAATGTTAACACTTAAGATGTTAATAACATCATTTTTTGTTAGCAGTTTTATGGTTAGATAACTAAAAATACACTTTTTAAAAAATTAAATTGAAACGTTGTGTAAAGTTAAAAGATTAAATATATATTTTAGTTTTAAAAATTCTTTTTGTTTGATAGAAACAAAAAACGTCCAGCTAGACCGTCCCTTTGAGTTCACTGCACTTTGTACAAATTGAGACTTGATCTCATGAAACATTTATTTTGCGTTATAAATTAATATCCCCAAGGATTTAATTACTATTACCTCCGATCCTAATTATAAGAGCCAGTTGACTAATTTGAGGAGATTAAGGAAGTAAGTTGAGTTAGTTATTTGTCCTAAATAGGTGTTGTCTTTCCTAAAATATCATTGCTAATCAAGTGTACTGACTAGAACTATCATTGTTAGAAGGGCTACTTTGAAAAAAATATATAAATATGAGAGACAAAGTGGATTGGGGTCTTATATTTAGAACCAAAATAAAAGTCAAACATGGTCTTATATTAAGGAACGGAGGTAGTATTTTGTTTAATTAAAGGCTTTTATTTATCAAGTGCTCATTACACCTTTTTTTTTTAAATTCTTATTTCCTATATAAAGGGACCAACTGGGCAGTTGGGCCAAAAACAAAATCTGCGGGCAAATAAGTATGTAAGCCGAATTTTGTAAAAGAAAGCTCGTTACTTTCCGGAGTCACGTGAACACTTTACTCTTCTAATTTTATTTGTAAACAAGAATTGTTTTTGGAAAAAATAGCAAATAAAACCTCTAAATATGTAAAATTATGATTTAGAACCTTTAATTTAAAAAATAACAAATAAAGACCCGGTCTTATATATTACAAATATGAAATCTTGATAAGTTTAATAATAAGAATTTGGGATTACCAAAACTTCCGTCTCAATTATGATTGCTCTTGTTCCTCATGACGTTAAAAACTCCTTTTCTTCACTTTATTGTCTTCTTGACAACATGAATAACAAGCTGTCCAATGGATGCTTGAAGTGATTATATAATCTACCTTCTAGTTTTGTCACAGAAAGGAAACGTGAAGGTTAGCTGAGGAATATATATGCAGACCATGCCTTTGAGTTCCATGCGTACATGTAACAATTAATTGAGACGTGATCTCATCATTTAGCTATATCAATTGATTAACATCCTTAAGGATTTTATTTTAATCCTTAGTACTGACTTGTTCATATTATCCTTCTTGGTGCATAAACTAAACCCATCATTATGATCGATCCATCTTTGGGCGAGAAGAGCTTTATTTATTCTTTTCTACTAACCAATAACAACCAAATCAGGTTGGTATAATTGGTACTACCTCCTGTTCTAATTATAAGACCCGGTTGACTTATTTGAAAAAATTAAAGAAATAAGTTAAATTAGTTATTTGTAATAAATAAGTGTTATTGTTCCTAAAATATCCTTGCTAATTAAGTATATTGGCTAAAACTAGCATTATTAGAAGGACTATCTTGAAAAAAAATGTATAAATATGAGAGACAAAATAGATTGGGATCTTAGAATTAGGACCAAACAAAAAGTCAAATGGGTTTTTATATTAAGGACCGGAGGTAATATTTCTTTCAAGTACTGAGTGGCTAGGATTTTTTTTTTCCTTTTTCATTTTCAACTTTTACACATTAAATAAATCTAGTTAAGGAAAATTGCCTACATTGGCTCTATCGTTTCTGTTGCTTTCCAACACAATATCTTCTTTGGAACAGTTATAAAAAGCTGACTTTGTCACATACCGCGGCGTCATAATATCTCAAATTGTGTTGACTTTGTTGTTTTAACGAATAAATAACTTGTTGTCTGTTTAACACTAATTACTAATTATAAGTCATGCATTTGCATTTTTTTAACGCATGGTTGACAGACGTTTTCCGAATGCATGCTTCATTTATATCATTAATGGCCATATTAAATATGCAGTTTATATTGTCATCGAATATTATATGATTTTTGTTTGTTTTTGTTGGCCATACCTCCTATTCTCATCTGGTGCTGATCACAACAATGAGTATGTAATGCTTATTGCTGTGATAAAATCTGGACTATTCAAGATATAATATGAATAGTTCATATTTAAAATTTTAAAGAGGACAAACAAACAAGTTTCAAGACTCACATATGATAAAATATTTAAAAAATAGTTATTTTTGAAAAGATTAATATGATTTTTGGGTCCTTAATTTTATTTTATTTTGATTTTGGTCTCTTAAGTTTCAAGTCATATATTTTAATCCCTCAATTTTTTTATTTAAAACATTAATTCCTATATTTTAATAAAAATTTGAATCATTTTACTTTTTAAAAAACCAAAAATTATGATTTAAAATAGAAAAATCAAAACCAAGGACAAACTTGAAAACCAAAAAATTATATTATCCATTTTAAAACTTAAACAAGCGAGTCCAAATTTTCCCGAAAATGATTTTTCCGAAAAAGATATTTTTTTTAATTGAAAAAGGTTTAAACAAATAGACCTCATGTAAGATTTTAGAAAGCTTATTTAGATTTCTTGATAGAGCATGAACACGTGCCTTGTTTTATGTAAAAGAAATCTTTTTTTGGATTTCTCCATCAGGTGTCCCAAGACACTAGGTATTTTTCAGCCGTGACAGCGGTCCCAAACTAATCCGGATCAAAGGCTTACAAGGAACCTTTCAGTCGGCGCCCTCTGGCCCCTAAGGGTGTTGCATTCCCATGACTTGAACTCGAGACCCGTGATTAAGCTAAGACAGTCCCAACCAACTGACCTAACCCCTCGGGTTTTGTAAAAGAAATCCTTTTAACGGTTAAAGTTAACTTTTCTTACCAGTAAAAACAATGCTGAAATTGCCCCACCAAATACTCTCAAAAAAATAGCTTGTGTTTCATATGAGACCATTAATTGATAATTGATTCGTACAAATCGTGGTTAAAGGGTGAACAAAGTTTCCTGGGAAACTGTGAATATAATGAAGGTGGGGTAAAATGGTGACGAACTGCACGTATCCCCATGTGAAAAGAGTAAAGTTCGGTTGCTGTTCATTTGGCTCCCAAGCTTAGCAAGTAAGCCAAGTCCATTCGATGCCATAATATCCTCCATCGTCACTATGAACTTTTCTCATCAGCAAAGAAGAGAGTGCAAACTGTGTTTTTGATCACTCTGAATAGCTGATCACAGTACCATGGGCGCTGCAGCTTCATCATCCTCCTCCTCTTCTTCTGCATATTTTCCCAGAAAATATGACGTTTTTCTGAGTTTCAGAGGTGAGGATACTCGCAAAAACTTCACCAGCCATCTTCACACTGCCCTATGCATGAGTGGTATTCGAACCTACATAGATTATGAACTCCCAAAAGGGGATGACATTTCCCAATCTCTCATCCAAGCGATTGAAGATTCAAGCATATCTGCAGTAATCTTCTCAGAAAACTATGCTTCCTCGAAATGGTGTTTGAATGAACTGCTTAAGATACTGGAGTGTAAAGAAGTCCAAGGACAGCTCGTTATTCCTATTTTCTACCAAGTCGACCCATCTCATGTACGCAATCAAAAGGGAACATACCAGGAAGCTTTCGAAAAACACTATACACAAAACCCAGAGATGGTGAAGCAGTGGAAACGTGCTCTTTTTGAAACTGCAAACTTGGCTGGTTGGGACTCTCGGATCTATAGGTCAGTACGTGGTTGAAAAATTATACCTTTGAATTATTAAAATAGACTTTCATACTTTGTTCTTTTTTGGGTTAATTAGCTACTTGATTTCGTACTTTTGTTTATTCTTTTGATTTATCTTGCTGACCAGAATTTCATTGAGATCTATACATATTCATTTTCAATCTTTCAAGTTGATCTGCTTCAGCTTTCTGTTGAGAAAACTTGTTTAAACTATGTTAAAATTGTGCCTTCAGCTCTAACTTCAATTATTATAGTTAATCAGCCTTCAATATATTAATTGGGAGTATGAAGGACATGAATATAAATAATTAGTAGTATTACAAACATGTTTTGTGTTTCATTTGAGATTGAGATTATACGTGTTTTCTTCCATTCTTTTCATGAGAGATTTGTGTACTTTTGGTAAATAGTGAAGATGACTTGGTAAAAAGATTAACTTTCTTAACTTGATATGAGTTATCATGGCTTTTTTTTTTTTTTTGTCGAATGAGTTGTTGCGGCTCTTATCTCTTAAGCAAGTGATTGGTAGTTAATTTCCATCTTTTGCGTATGGGAAAAAACTAGTTGAGTAGCATCTCTCTATCCTCTATATATGCCTAGAAAGCTTAGTATCTATTATTGATAGAAAATAACCCCTCCCCCAAAAAAAAAAAACAGAGAACTGCGTAATCTCAACAAAAATTATGTTATTTTGCATGGTTTGCTATTTCTTCTAGGAATGTCTACTCTCTTTTATCCAAAATGGTTAACTCCACATGCAAGAAATCAACAATTATGAATGAAACATTTGTTTACTTTAGTTCTATCGCTCTTAACTCACTTTCTTAATGATATTCACATTGAAGATCATATGGTGCAATCACTTCAATTTTTCCTTAGAAAATTATGCAAATTCCTACCATGCATTGATAACTCTAAAAAATACATCAAATATCACTAAATATAGAATGTCATCAGTTATGTAGATGTAATGAAATTTATGTAATTTGATCTGAATAAAATAACATCAATTTTATTTATTACTTTATTCAATATATATATATATATCATTTATTTAGTAGTTTCTTTTTTTAGTTGTGTTAATATTTTTCTTTCTATTTTATATTTTAGGGACGAATCACAACTCATTCATAATATTGTCAATGACATTTTGAAAAGATTGGAGCACATGTATCCAAGTACATTACAAGGTCTTGTTGGAATTGAAGAGAACGCTGATTGTATTGAATCATTATTGGAAAATGCCTCAATAATTGGAATTTGGGGCATGGGTGGTATAGGCAAAACAACTATAGCTAAAGCTGTATTCGCCAAGCTCTCCTTCCAATTTGAAAGTAGTTGTTTTTTTGAGAATTTAAGAGAAGAATCAGAAAAATATGGACTAAAGCATATACGTGATAAACTTCTTAGAGAACTATTGATGGAAGAAGAGTCCATGGTTAGGTCCACGTCATTTGCCATGAGAAGACTTAGTTGTAAAAAAGTTTTCATTGTGCTTGATGATGTCAACAAGATAAATCAATTAGAATATTTGGCCAAAGAATGTCATGCCTTGGGACCTGGTAGTAAAGTCATCATTACTACGAGAGATAAACATTTGCTTCTTGGAAGAGTAAATGAAATATATGACGCCAAGCCATTGAGCGATTACAAATCAGTTAGCCTTTTCAACCTCAAAGCCTTTCACAAAGATGATTATGAAAGCGGATATGAAGAACTATCTGAGAGAGTTGTTGCTTATGCTAAAGGCAATCCTTTAGCTTTAATCACCTTGGGTTCATTTCTATATTCCAAAACTATAGATGAATGGGAAAGTGCATTGACAAAATTGGAAAAGACAAGCCATGAAGATATTCATGCAGTGTTAAAATTGAGCTATGATGGACTAAACTTTGAAGAGAGAGAAATGTTTTTAGAAATTGCTTGCTTTCTAAAAGGTGAAAGTATTGCTAAAGTAGTAGCTCTTTTAGACAGCTATGGCTACCATGCAACAATTGGCTTGAGGACCCTCGTAGATAAGGCCCTCATACGCATTTCTTCTTATTATGTGGAGATGCATGATTTAATACAACAAATGGGTCGTGAAATTGTTCGTCAAGAGTGTGTAAAAAATCCTGGAAGACGAAGTCGACTATGGAATCCTGATGAAATCTATGATGCATTGAAAAATAATCGGGTAAGAAAAAGAAGCAGTTTGCTTTCACACAAGAAATGTCTACAAGTGAAAACAATTACTAATATATGATGATATTTTCTTACTTTTATTTGAATTTTGTGTACTTCAGGTAACTGATGCAGTTGAAGGCATAAGTTTAGATTTGTCTCAAATTGGAGATATATGCTTAACTTCCAACACCTTAAAAAAGATGCCTAATTTGAGATTTCTCAAATTCTATTCATCTAATTCAGATAGAAGGTCATGTGTGAATATTCCCTCAAGCCAAGGGTCATTTTCCAATCATTTATCTTATCTTCAATGGGATAATTTTCCTTTTGAGGCTCTACCATCATCTTTTTGTGCAGAGAAACTTGTTGAACTTAGTATGAATGGCAGCAAGCTTAAAAAATTGTGGGATGGAACACAGGTGCAATATTCAAATATGATTAGTTCAATTTTTTCATGTCAATTGAAATTTTTTACTTTTGTTTCCCAAGTAATGTTTCCCTTTTTAATTCATACAGGATTTGGTAAATTTAAGGGGATTAGACCTTGGAGGATCTAAGCAATTGGCAGAGCTGCCTGATTTCTCCAAGGCACGGAAACTTGAATGGGTGAATCTCTTCTCATGTGAAAGTTTAAGCCATCTGCATCCCTCTATTTTATCTCTCCATAGATTAAAGTCTTTGGGGCTCACTAATTGCATAAAGCTGAAGCATTTGCAAAGCGAGAGCCCTTTAAAATCTCTAGAGAGCCTTAGTGTTGATAATTGCTATGGTCTCAAGGAATTTTCATTATCATCAGAGAGCATGACAGTTTTACAATTAAATAGAACTGGCATTGAGTCATTGGGCTCTTCAATTGGTTATCTCCAGAAACTCACTAGTCTCTCACTCAATTGCTCAAGACTAAAGAATATTCCAGTCAATGAGTTTTATGGACTGAGATCTCTAAAAGATCTTACTTTTTCTGATTGTGGAGAGATAATTGATGAATCAAAGTTATATATCCTATTTGATGCTTTACAATGTCTAATAAGTATTCATTTGGATGGGAGTTGCATCTTGACCGAGCTCCCCGACAATATCAAGCATCTATCAAGACTAGAATTTCTTTCCTTGATAAATTGCAAGAGCCTTCAATCTTTACCAGAGCTTCCTCCATCCATCAAAGACTTAGATGCTACCAACTGCACATCATTGGAGACGCTAATACTCACTTCTCATACTGAATTTCCATTGTTGCCACAGCAAATAATGCAGAATTTAACACCCTATTCCTCAATCAGGTATCTCAGAAATCTAAGAAGGCTTATTCTTTCATGTTGCAACATAGGGAACCGTTCACTTTCCCATATTATGGCGTTTGCTTACTTCTGTTTGAAGCGTGGTGTGCAAACAAATCAAATGGTTGATGTTTGCTGTCCAGGAAGAGAAGTTCCAGATTGTTTTAAACATAATCAGACAACTAAGGCTCCCAATTTCATAACTATTGAGCTTTCTTCAACCATGAACAACTTGCAAGGCTTCATTTTCTACTCTGTTCTTCCGCAGATCACTCCAAAGGAAAGCTGTTCTTACAGAGTAAAATGCCAAATTTATGATGAAGATGGTGAATGCGGCACAAGCTTGAGTTTTGTTATAACAAATGTTAATTCACACCATGTTTTTCTGTGGACCACTCATAAAAACATATTCACAAAATATCCAGACGCCAATTACAAGCCAAAGCTTTCATTTGAATTCTATGTTGTTACATATGATAGCGATGATTTTATTGGGTTCGGTTTTATGAAGGAAACAAAACACGATGGCTTGATTGAAGCATGTGGAGTCTGCCCAATATATGCCCCAGATTATCACAACTTCCTTCAGCAAGAGGAATTGGAGGTGGGAACAAGGGAGCAAAGGACTTTTGAAGATATTGAGGAGCATTCATTTCGTGGAATACTGGAATATGCTAGTTTCTCACTGAAGCAAGCAAAATATGGTGGTTTTGAGACAAGTACTATTCCAGAGTGGTTTGCATACAAAAGCTTGACAACAGGGTCTTCTGTCTCTGTTCAGCTTAATCCTAGTTTTGATGGCTTATTGGGTTTCGTTTTCTGCTTTGTTATTCCTCAATTCTCCTTAAAAGAAAGGGATCTACGGCACTCATCATGTGGATACTATGATGAAAATAACATTTATCAAGAAGGCCCTAGAGGATGGCATTATTCAATGATCGGATTGAATTCAAATAATGTTTTCCTATGGTATGATCCCCTCTATTGTGAACTCATTCTGGAGGATATTCAAAGCAGAATAGGCCCCAGTAAATCTGAGAAATATGAATCAAAGGTCACATTTGAATTTAAGTTTGGCGATTGCTTGATCAAAGAAGGTGGAGTTCGCCCAATATATGCCTCAAAATACAGAGAGTTCCTTCAACAAAAGGAATTGGAGTTGAAGTTAATAACAGGAAAAAAGAGGTGTCGGAGTATTGATGATGAGCCACAGCAACCCACTGCCACAAAGAAATGGAAGACGTCTTCAATCCTTCAACCTGTTCCCCTGAGTTCTGAGTCCAAGACATCTCATGATTTTGATGAGTTGATATTTTCTCTATCACAATTGAATTTGGAAAGCACGAACGATAGCATTCGTCACATATAAATTATCTGTGATTCCTGTTCTGGTATTTATATGCCTCTCGTTAAAATTTCATCTAGTAAGCAACTGTCTTTATCTATTATGCAGTCATTGTGTTAGCAAAAACTATAGGGATGGTGAAAAAATGTATAAAAGTGGATATCTTCCAAATAAAATATCCGTTCTGTTTTTATGTGAAAAAGCTATTACCTTCTAATGTATTTAATTCTGTTGATATGTTTGAATCGCCTTGTTTCCTAACTTAAGCTTTTATTTATTGTTGGCTTATTACAGTGGCCAGGTTTCTTCTCAAGCTAACATTGTTGGCATTTTCCTGGATGCAGTGTGTAGCAATAGGCTATATGCAGTTGAGTTGGATTAAAGATTGAGAGGTGCTATTTGTTACCTCGAAGCAGAGTACTAAAGTGATGCATGTATGACTTTGAGCAGATTAACTTCCTATTGGTTTTTCACCGTTGCTTCGAAAATAGTAACTATTTAGAATTACTTCTTCTAGCATAACTCTGAGCAGATTTGTATTCCTTTTCTACTATGTTGTCACAGAAATGAATTATAAACATGAGCTCAAGAACATAATGCTGATCATACCTGTGAGTTTCTTGCACTTTTGCCAACTGAGACTTGTACCTCAGATTGTTCCCAGCTACTATTTCATATCTGCATATCCTCAGTGAAATTGATGATATTGTTGTTATTCATAACCTGCTTGATATAACACTTTGCAGCTTTCTTGTTCAAGCAAACAATATTAGAAGAACAACTGTTCATTATCTATGAAAAGTGGAGTTCCAGAGTGATCAGATAATATTGTTTTGTTTGTTTTCTTTCTTCTTCATAATTTTACCGCAGCTTAAACCACTCTCTGGTCAGGAAGTCTTATCGGTCTCTTCCACCCCAAGCAACTAAAATTCATTCTGATTTAACAGTATCCTGTCATAGATTTTAGTTGAATTGCAATTTGTTCTTTGGTTATTAACATCTTTTTTTAAAATATTAAATGACTTCTGTACTAGATTTCTGTTACCCCAAATGGTCCAATAACACAATAGCTCAAATACGATTTAACAAAATGCTGTGATGAAGGGGATCGGGTGTGAATGGACGTCACAAAGTAAATTATAGTCAAAGCACATTGAGAAAAGACAATAATAAGGATTATTTAATCATAATGGAGGAGCACTAGTGCTTCTTTATTCATCTGCCTTCTGTGTATTATTTAATATGCGTTCATTTAATAACAAGGATTTGGAAATAATTATTGAAAAATTGTAAAAAAGAGACCGTGAAATTTGAAAAACTTTAGACAAGGACCTGTTTATAAAAATTATTGTCAAAACCTATACTATTATTGTCAAAACCCATAATAATATTGTTACGGGTTTTATTTGCAATGTTTCAAATTCTACGGCTTTTTTTAATGATTTTTTAATAATTATTTCTCTAATAAACCATAACTTCCATCTCAATTGTTATCGCTCTTTGTTCCTCTTAAGTTAAGATCCCTTTTCTTCATTTAACCATCTTCTTTTGGTATAGCTGTCGTCTTTTTGTTTGGTTAGGATTTTTTACTTATTAAATAAATCTAATTAATTACTTTCAATTATTTTTTTTGGCCAACACCGTTGCTTTCAAATTACATCTTCTTTGGACCATTTGCAAGAGTCAACTCAATATAATCGACTTTGTCACAAACTGCTTTGTCATAGGCTTATTGACTTATTTAATAGTTTTAATGAATAAATAAATTGATGTAATTTTAACACTAATTAATCAATAATTAACGCATTTGCATATTGTTAAACACTAACGCTTGAGTAAATAAATTGATTCATTTATATGATCAATAGATGTACATTCAATACGCAGTCTATTTTGCATCTAATATTATCTGATTTCATTTTGTTTTTGTTGGCCATGCTTGACTCACTAGCGTAAAAATAAGAAAGTTTGTTGTTTCTCAATTTTTAATGAAGAAATTAAAATTATCCGTAGAGAAATAATTTGCTATGAAAATGTATGTTAAGTCAACAAATCAGGTTACATTTATCGAGATTTTCTGGCCAAGTCATCCTATTTTAATTTTATATCATCCCCTCATATATAGGGAAAGAATTTTAACTCCGAATCAAAGCGAAAGTTAAATTGAAGTCAAGATAAGTAATGGATAAATAAATAAATAAATAGAAGTAATTTTATATAGGAAAAAATGGAAAAAAATTCCCATTAAACATTTTATTGTTGATAATGACTTACTAAACTTTTATACAAAAAAATGTTAATATTCTGTAAATTTTGTACACAGATGATGCCGGTAATCTCTTATTTACATTCTTATTACTAATAAAATTTAAATATGACTGAGAAAAAGCCTAAAATAAATGGGTGTGGCTCAGAAATTGACGGAACAAAAAAAAAAGTCATAATATTATACTATCCTCCGATCCTTAATATAAAACCCATTTAACTAATTTAATTAGATTAAGGAAGTTAGGTAAGTTAGTTCATTATAAAAAATATGACACTTTTTTCCTAAAATACCATAATCATCTTTCTTAATACCCCCTCTTCCTCTTCTACTTGATTATGGTTGAGGGAGTATCCATAGGGGTAATTTAGAGAGGATTGATAAATATGATAAATGGGTCTTATATTTAAGACCAAAACTAACTCAACAATTGGGTCCTATATTAAGAATCGGAGGAGTATTATGCTATATCTGATCCTTGATCTAAGAGTTCGTTTGACTTTTATTTTCATCTTAAATATAAAATTTTAATTTATTTTATTTTTTCTTTTATATTTATTTATTTTGTTTCAACGTAGTCCTTATAATAATGGTAATTCTAAATATTTACTTATTATAAATAATTAACTTAATTAATTTTTTTAATTTATTTAAATTAATGAATTAATTTTTATATTGAGAATTAGAAATACTACTTAAAAAAAGAAAAAAAAGGCAACGACTTTTGTTGCTTATTTTACTTGTATATTTTATTGTTTTAATGATTGCAATTGGACATGGATGTTTCTTTGGCCAAAAAAAAAAAATGGACGTGGATGTGTTTACCCCCGCTAATAGGAGAGTGAATTATTAAAATGGGAGAAATTCTTACATGCTCCCAGTGCACCACCGTATCCATGCTCTGACAAATAAGATCATGACAACTCAACAGCTTTTATCTTATGTGTCAGCCTATGTGTCAACCATTCTCTTCCTATTATTTTAATCATTTATTTTTGAAAAGCGTGCTGTTATCACCTCCCTCCTCTCTCTCATGCGTCACTTTACTTTTACAAAAACCCTCATCCCTCTTTCTCACTTGCCATCTGCTACCAGCTCCCCGCCTCGATCTCTCTCTGCCCACCCACAAGTACACCACTCTCTCCGCTCCTTCCTCCCTATCTCTCTCATTCTCATATTTTGTATTTCTTCATTTCTTAAACATTTCAAGTCTGATTTCTTTCTCAATCATAATATTTTATTGACCTTTTTCTTTTAAAAAAATAGAATTGAAAGGTAAATATATATATATATAAGTAATATATAATTCTGTTTTTTTATTCTCACGTTTTCTTTTAAGGAATAGAATTAAAATAATTAATAACTAAAGAACATAAAATGACAAATTTCAAAGTGAAAAATAACAACAGATTCATGCTTGATTATCTATCAGTAAAATTTTTTAATAATTAAATTTGTTTTGGGACCCCTGATGATTCTCCCAAGTCCCAATATATTACTTCTTTGGTACTATTTACAGGATACTGAGAAAATTTTTTTATATTGATATATAATTTTACCTTCAATTGATTTTTTTACATAAGGTATATTATATACTATCTCTAGTTCTATTTATATTTATAGACTATAAACATGGTCTTATAATTAGAACTGGGGATAGTATTAGATAGGGATAAAGTTGAAATATTATTGAATTTTAAATGATAGTTAATAAAGTTCAAAATTTTTCTTGGTTTATATAAAACATGTTAGAAGTGACTTATAAATAGGATCAGAAAAATATGAATGAAAGGTCTAAATGAAAAAATTGGAGTTAAATCTAGATATTATTAAAAAAATCAGGAGTTCAAGAAGTGTGAATAAAAAAATTAAAGTTAAGTAGAGATATTATAAAAGAATCAAGAGTATATTATAAAAATAAGAGTTCAACGAAACATCAACTCTATTTTTTTAAAAAAAAAGAAAAGGTAAATAAAATATTATGATTGAAAAAAAAAATCAGACTTGAAATGTGTGGGAAACAGTAAGAATGAAGGAATACAGAATATGAGAATGAGAGAGATAGGGAGGAAGGAGGAGGGAGAGTGGCGTGCTTGTGGGTGGGCAGAGAGAGACCGAGGCGTGTAGCTGGGAGTAGATGGCAAGTGAGAAAGAGGGGTGAGAGTTTTTGTAAAAGTAAAGTGACGCATGAGAGAGAGGAGGAAGGAGATAGCAGCACGTTTTTCAAAAATAAATGATTAAAATAATAGGAAGAGAATGGTTGACACATAGGCTGACACATAAGATAAAAGCTGTTGAGTTGTCATGATCTTATTTGTCAGAGCATGGATACGGTGGTACACTGGGAGCATGTAAGAATTTCCCTTAAAATGGACCTACCATCCAATCATCGTCGTCGATTTCGAGTCGATTCTACAGAGCGGCTCCTTGTTTTTTTTTGTTTTTTTGGTGAAATACAGAGCGGCTCCTTTACTAATGAAGCTGCCACATCCTCATCAACCATCGCGACCTCCTCATTGTCATTCTTGACTGATCAAAAAGCTGAGTTTTTTCTTTTTATCCCCCCCCCCCAAAAAAAAAAAAAAGAAGTTGCTGCCAGTAGTCACTGCGATGGGTACTGCTTCTTCTACTTCAAGATCTTCCTCTCAATCAACTTATTCAAAGAACTATGATGTGTTCATCAGTTTTAGAGGAGAGGACACGCGCACAAATTTCACCAGCCATCTTCATTCTGCTCTCACCCACAAGTCCCTGAGAACCTTTATTGATTATGAGCTTCCCAAAGGCGATGATATCTCGGAATCTCTCATCCAAGCAATCAAGGATTCTAGTATATCTGTCGTGGTCTTCTCAGAGAACTACGCTTCCTCAAAATGGTGCTTGGATGAACTCGCCCAGATACTCCAGTGCAGGAAAGATTTAGGCCAGTTTGTTATTCCTGTGTTCTACAAGGTTGACCCATCAGATGTTCGCAAGCAGAAGGGGACTTACGAGGAGGCATTTGCAAAACATGAGAGAGATTTCAGGCACAACCAGGACAAGTTGAAGAAATGGAAAGATGCTCTTTTTGAAACTGCCAATTTAGCTGGATGGCACTCTCAATCCTTCAGGTAATTATTCCTTTACCAATATTGAATGATTTTTACTTAATTATTTCGGATCGAGTAGTTGGTTTCGTCTTTCTTGGACATCCATGTTTTGGATTACTTATTCTGTAAGGGGTTTTGTATTTTATGACACAAACTCCCTCGCATATTTATATTTATTATGGAGCATAAAATCACTTAAAATAACTCATCTAAACAAGCGTGAATCTAAGATTTTCTTTCCGCGAAAATTAAAATTTTATGGACTTGTGGCAAGTCATCCTCATCTGTCACACGTCTTGATGCTAACTATGTGGTGGTCAAAGCCTAAAAGAGAATTTGTGTCATATGATATAATTAAGCCCAGGAGCCGTACAAAACGCGAACAAAAACCTGTTTATAATAAAAACCTATTTATAAATAATTTATTTATTTTTTAAATTAGTATTATTAAACTGCTATGTTCTTAACTACTAGTTAGTTCGTCAAATTTTATTTTCCACTTCCGATGATACTATATATATATATATGTGTGTGTATATTGACTTTTCCTTGTTTTCTTCAATATTTTTGTGTGCTAGGGACGAAGCTGAACTAATTCAGAACATTATTAAGGATGTTTTGCAAAAATTGGATCGTAAGTATCCAAGTACATTAGAAGGTCTTGTTGGAATTGATGAAAATTGTGAATGCATTGAGTTGTTACTGAGAAAATTTTCAATAATTGGAGTTTGGGGAATGGGTGGGATAGGTAAGACAACCATGGCTAAGGTTGTATTTGACAAACTATCTCCTCAATATCAAAGTTGCTGTTTCTTAGAAAATGTAAGGGAAGAGTCAGAAAAGCATGAATTAAAATATATACGTGATAAACTTGTTTCAGAGCTGCTTATGGAAGAAAATATCCATCTTACCCAACCGAAAGTTTTGGGATCTACTTTTGTTAGGAGAAGGCTTAGCTGCAGAAAAGTTTTCATTGTGCTAGATGATGTTAATAGTTCAAAGCAATTAGACTATCTCGCTAGAGAATGTGATTGCTTGGGGCAAGGTAGTAAAGTCATCATAACAACAAGAGATAAGCATATGCTTATTGGTAGAGTTAATGAAATATATGAGGCCAAGCCATTGAAGTATCAAGAATCCTTCAAGCTTTTCAACTTGAAAGCTTTTCACAATGATCATCCTGAAATTGGATATGAACAGCGATCAAAAAGGGTTGTTACTTACACCAAAGGCAATCCTTTAGCTTTAATAGTTCTGGGTTCTTTTCTTTACTCCAAAACTAAAGAAGAATGGGACAGTGCGTTAAGAAAATTCAAAAGGATTCCACATGAAGATATTCAGGAAGTGTTAAAATTGAGCTACAACGGATTAAACGATGAAGAGCAGGAAATATTTCTAGACATTGCGTGCTTTTTGAAAGGTGAACTTAAAGAACATATAATACAGCTATTAGACAGCTATGGATTCCATGCAAGAATTAGCATTAGAACCCTCCAAGATAAGGCTCTTATTACTGTGGGTGAAAGATTGTGGATGCATGATCTAATACAAGAAATGGGTTGGGAGATAGTTCGTCAAGAATGTATTAAAGAACCAGGAAGACGCACTAGATTATGGGACCCTAAGGAAGTCTATGATGTATTGAGAAGCAATCGGGTAAGCCCTTCATCTCTTAAACCTCTGTGATCCTTGGTGAGAAATGTAGCTAGCATGGTTTAGTTTACTTACTGTTATTCTAATTTTCATTTTGATAATTGTTAGGGAACTGAAGCTGTCGAAGGCATAATCTTAAATGTGTCTCGAATTAAAGATATATACTTGGATGCCGACACCTTCAAAAAGATGACTAATTTAAGATTCCTGAAATTTTATTCCTTATGCAATACTGGATCATTCAATGTGCATCTTCAGAAGGGTCTTGAGTCTATTTCTGATAAATTAAGGTACTTTCAATGGGATGGGTACCCTTTGGGTTCTTTGCCATCAACTTTTTGTGCTGAGAGCCTTGTTGAACTGAAAATGCAATACAGCCATGTTCAAACACTTTGGGATGGCGTGCAGGTATAATGTGAATTAGTGTGTTTTTCATTTTTAATAATTGAAAGAAGTCTTTCTGATGTCTGTTAGTCAATTGTTGCAGGATTTTGTAAATTTGAAGAGAATAGATCTTCGTTTTTCCAGAAAACTGAGACAGTTGCCTGATTTCTCCAAGGCCCATAATCTGGAATTGGTGAATCTATATTACTGTGAAAGTTTGCGTTATGTCCATCCATCTATCTTATCTCTCAAGAGCCTTGTTTCTTTGGATTTAGGCAAATGCAAAAACCTCGAGAGTCTCCAAAGTGATACTCATTTAAGATCTCTTAGAAAAGTCCTTGTTCATGACTGCCCTAATCTGAAGGAATTCTCTTTATCATCCAAAGAACTAAGATGTTTATTTTTAGGGTCAACTGGTATAGAAATTCTACACCCATCAATCGGAAGTCTTGCTAAGCTTAGAAGTCTTCATCTCAATGGTTCAAAATTGAAGAATCTTCCACTAAAGGAGTTATGTTGCTTAAGATCTCTTGAGGATCTTGGTATCTACAACTATGCGTTTGACAAACATGTGCTGCAAATGCTATTTGATGCCTTGCCTGCTTTACGAATACTAAGCTTCCTGAATTGCTCTAACTTAACTGAGCTCCCAAACAACATCAAGCAACTCTCAAGACTTCAAAGGCTTCATTTGAGAAGTTGCAGAAATCTTCAATGTTTACCAGAGCTCCCCATGTCTGTTAAAGAGCTAGATGTCTCCAACTGCCCATCAATTTCAATCAACTGTAAGTTGTTGAAGGAAGTAGGAAAATTGGTTCCAGCACTGCACACCTCCTCAATTGGGCATCTTGCCAATCTCAAAACTCTACTTCTTGATGCTTCAAGTCTTGGCAATCTTCCAATAACTGAGTTATGTTGTTTTAGATCTCTCATGGAGCTTCGCCTTCGAAAATGCAGACACCTAGTGGATGAACCAAAGCTACATATACTATTTGAATCCCTGCAATGTCTACAAATACTGGATTTGGAGGACTGTTCTGGCTTAACTAAGCTCCCCAACAATATCAAACATCTCTCACGGCTGCAAAACTTACTTTGAACGGTTGCACTAAGCTTCAGTTTTTACCCCAGCTTCCACGGTCTCTTAGAAATTTTATGGCCAGTAATTGCACATCATTAGAGAGAGTGTTTGCTTCAACAATTTCAAGGCTATTACGGGTAAATGGTCATAATTTCATTTCATTTCACAATTGTGAGAAATTGAACGAGCGTTCACGTTGTGCTATTGAGAAACATGTGGAGTTCTCATTGAAGCAAGCAGTACATAACAAGCAAAGATTTACAGTTTTTTATCCTGGAAACAGTGTTCCATTGTGGTTTGGCTATAATCGGTCAACAAAGGGTTTGGTAACCTTAGAACTGTCTTTGGCCTCTGATCATTTATTGGGTTTTGTTTTCTGTTCAGTCATTCCTCAATTCATCTCTAAGGAAAAAAATCAAGCGGCTGTGACCTGCAAGTGCTCCTTTGAAGAAGGTGAAGCAGTTGAATTTCAGATTTTTGATCCACAATATGCAGAATTCAGCTCAGATCACATTTTACTTTGTTGTGATCCATACTTCTCTAAATTAGTATTGGAGAGATTTAAAGGAGGCAATGGAAATGATGAAGACACCACTTCTAACAAAAAGGTTTTGTTTAGTTTCGTTTCTTGTGATGGCTTCATCGAAGAGTGTGGGATCTGCCCCATATATGCCTCTGAATATCAGAATTTCATTCAACAAAGGAAAATGAAGTGTGAGTTGGGCAAGAGGTCAAAGCGGCATCGAGATATTGATGAAATGGAGATGGAAATCTGTAAATTTGGAACCGGAGTTGGAAACTCTGATGGGGAAGAAACAGTGTCTCCATGCAAGAAATTGAAAATGGAGTTGTGTGCCCAGCCTAATGGACAAGAAGATATTGAAGAATTGGAAGCTTTGCTCATGAGAATCAAAATCAGCTAGAACCATTTCTTAAACAACACCAACAGATCATTAATGGTAATAAACCTTCTACCATTACTTAATCATCGATATCTCCCTCTTGCATTTTATTCTAGACTTTTTTCTGTGTGATTCCATCTGAAAAGGAGGAGCGTTTACTCATACTTGATATCATTGATACCGATGCATGCTGGCAACTGTGAAATATAGGTTTTGGGCATAGTAAGTATTAAATTTAAGCTTTTATGGATAACATAAAAAATAATAACCTCAGACGGAATATGGTTGTCAAATTTCAAAAATAAATATTGGTTTTTTTTTTTTTTTACCTTTTGATTTTAAACTCTTCTCTGTCCCTTGATGTCCTTGTTTATGATCATTGCTTTCATGACTGCTTTTTGACTTGGTGCGGTCAGCAGGTTTTTTTTTTTTTCCCAGAGAAATTTTTCAAATCTGGTAAGCTAGGAGCCTAGGACTGAAATAGCCGTCTTCTTGTTCGTGCTGTTGTGTTTCTTAATTTAAGAAGAAACATAAAAAATAATTTGAAAGTGCAGAAACATAACAGTAAGTTCTCAGTGCTTATGCTTTTGATATTGAGGCAATTTCTTTTGTTTTCATAACCTTTTTCCTTTCTTTGCCATGCTTTCTTCTTTTTCTCTGCTGTTAGAAGTCTATTGAATCAGGTTGCGTAGCTCTATATAACAACAACAACAACAAGCCTTATCCCATTAGGTGGGGTCGGCTACATGAATCACACGACGCCATCGTGCTCTGTCAACAATTGTGTGGCTCTATAATTTAAACTTAAATTATTTTTCAGTGTCAGAGTAAAAGATTGTCTTCAAGATGTTGTTAACTTCAATTGTAGATTGTGAAGAGAAATTGATTGTGCAGGAATTCCATCTCCTTGCTTGGGCCTTTTTCTGCGGCGGAGGATATCTTGATGAGGGCTGATGACACACTGCAAGAACTGCTTCATGGCTAATCTTAATTATACTTGTAACGAAGCTTGAAGCTATCATGTACAATAGTATTTTATGATGCCCATGTGGTGTGTATAATTGTTGAAAATTTAAGGGAAAACATATATGGGAGTGCTTATAGTTTCACTTGATTTTGAATTAGGCATTTATAGTTTTTCTTTTTATTAGATCCTTAGAGTTTTTTAACGCTAATTACTAGTCCTTCTGCTCATATTCTGTCTGCTATTCTAAATGACAGGTGACTGTCACGTGGCCAAGAAGAAGAGTGTAGTTTTTTGCTTTTTTCTTTTTTTTTTTGCCTGAAGAAGAGTGTAGTTTTCAATAGTCTTCAAAACCAATTTCTTTCCGACGACATGTGATGCTGCGCAAGTTACCTTGCTTTTGATAGTATTCCCAGCTGGTTCTTGCACAGGGAAACCAACCTTGACTAGTTTTGTCCACCTTTAACCAGTTTCATCACTATTGATTGTGCCTATGAAATGGCGTTTTGACCGTGCTTTTCTTTTCATCACTGTTGCAAAAAGGGACCAAGCCTCACATGGGAAGAAAATTCAAGAAAGATGATGCATATCTAAGAAAACATTGTGCAGCGTTATTGACGCAAGAAGAATAGGAAATCCTCTTCCTGTCCGCCGTTAACGAGTTACACACAACTGACACAAGCCTCATAACTCTTAGCTTCTTCGTTATTGTTTCCAAAGCGTCCAAAAATAGGGCCAAACAGAGCAAAAGCGTCGCAGTATTTTGGACGACATGGAGCCAAGTAGGACGATGATGGATTTATTGGCAAAGGCAAAGGTAACGTCCGCCGCTAACAACACTAATAAGAACATGAATCTTCTAGCAGTCTTCTTCCCCGAAGACGATTCTGCCATTGCCAACAAATCCAAGCATTTTTCTTCCCCCTGTATCGCTTCATCTTCATCGTTTTCACCGTCTAATCACTCGGTTCCTCCTTCAAAAGAAGTTGGGGCTACCTTCTCTGTGCGGGATCTAGCTGAGAGAACTACTAAAAGCAAGGAACTTGCGGAGCATGAAATATGCTGTCGGAAAGAAAATCGGTTTTGGAGACTACTAAAAACTAAACTCTTCTGCTTAACCACGTGGCAGTCACCTGTCAGATAAATAAACGCCGTTGAGAATAGCAGACAGAAGGAATAGTAATTAACGTTAAAAAACTCTAAGGATCTAATAAAAAGAAAATAAACTATAATCAAGTGAAACTATAAGCACTCCCATATATGTTCTCCCAAAATTTAAATATCTATTTGTTATAAGGATTATAAGTTACAGTGCTTTGTGGATGTTTCAAGCCTTCCGAGATTCGATTTAATGAAGTGAACTTTGGGTTTTTCTTTTTCCTCATCAGTTGGGTAATTCCATTACAGGGAAATGATGACCTTATAAACTTCATACCAATGAAAATTTTGGCAGGTGAATTACTCTTAACGAATGAGCATGATGGTGTTTGTAGATGAAAACAGAGCAAAGAAAACAGAGCGTGAGCTCTTACTCCTCCAAAGTGAGTTTTAAATGAAAGTTTTTTAATATAATTAAACTGATTATGATTGTCATATTGATATTTGTCGATGAAAAGTGGAGACTTGAAAACAGAGCATGAACGAAACGTGCCATAGTTTGCACAAGCCAACTTGCCATATTATAGCGATTGTGGTAATTATCCTTTGTAGATTATCAGTCAGTCTTGGTGGAGCTTTTGCATTATTATTCTGTGTGTCATTCTCAAACCTTGTGCATTTTAATTTGGCAACAAAGTCTCTTAATATTTCAATGTTACAGCATATGTAGCATCAAAATATACTTCAAGGAAAAAAAAAATGGAGTTTGCAAACTTGCAATACATAGCATTTATGTAAATTTAATACTACCTCCCCTCATGAGTATATGAGCTAGTTGGGGATTAAATTTATTTTTAAATATAAGATTTTAATTTATTTTTTCTTTATCTTTTATCAAAATATCTCTATTAATTATAAGAGAGTACTGTTAAAGGCAAGGTTAAAAAAAACCAGATCAGTTATTGAACCAGTCAAGATAGCGAGTTAAGAATTAATGGGTTAGATTGGAGTCAATCTAAAGTTAAACTGATCATGATTTATAAACTATAATTTAAATAAATGTTTCAAAAGTATTCACATTTAATTATAAAAATAATTCAATATAAGTAATATTTTAAATATCTTATATTAAAAAATAAAAATAAGATATGTATATATGGTGTATTGTAATATACTCCATCCATTCTTTTTGATAACATAAAATTAATCAAATTACGTTGTTGGAAAAATTAGTTAAAATTAGTTAGGTACAGTAAATATGTAAAATTTAAATTTTGTTTTCCAAAGGAAAATATGGGTGAGAGAGATTGAATGAAAAAGAGAGACGAGAGAGACATTTAATTAATTGAGGCTAAAACTATAAAAAAAAAAAAATCTTTCCGTTCTAAAGATAAGACCCATTTTGTAATATAATTTACACTATAAAATGAGTCTTATATTTAGGACTGGAAGGAGTATTAAATATTTTAAAAAAACTCTAAAATGTATCTTACAAAAAAGATCATAACTATTCAGAGCAATAGAGTAATAAAGTAATAAAGGACCAGTACATTTTTGCTACCGTCGGGCTAGGCTTCTTCAAATATAGGGTGATGGTTGCATGGCAGAATGTGAAGTGCAATACAAATACTATTAATATTTGCATGACGACTGATATAGCCTTGGAAGACGAAGAGAAAGAGAAACTCCTAAGCTACCAGCCACCTATTACACGTTTTCCCGACCATCATTAACGCATAAGGCAGCTTTTATTCATCCTTCTTTTTGAATTTGAACTTCTGCCTTCTTCACTCCGCTGTTCAGTTGCCTGAAACTTCTTTTACTTTCTGGTCTCTCTCTCAGCTGGAAGAACAAAGAACGAACTTAAAGTCCTCCCTCCTTTGAGATTATCATTTTCCTCTTTCTTTCATGCATTTTCTTTCAAAAACAACTCCTTCACTTCATTTTTTGTTAAGATTTTACTGTCGTTTTTACTGTAAGCTTTTTTTTTTTACATCTTCTTTGTTATTCTTTTTATCTTCTTCCTCTCTGTTCTTTTTTCTTCTTCTTTCTCCAGATAAGCCTTCTTTTCTTTCCAGATTTCTGGCGTGATTTATTCCAGTAAAAAAGTTGAACTGGTTAACCCATTCAACCCAAAGAGTTACCCCAATTGACAACGGGTTGCACTGGTTTTGTTCTGGGTTGACTTTTGGCCGATTCAAAAGCTAAACCAGGCTGGACGAATGGCCAGTTTACCAACTCCGGTGCACCTTGCTGAATACAAGAAATGGCTTTACAAATTGTTCATGAAGAGAATATTAATGAACCTGGAAAAGCCATAGAGAACAACAATACCTTACAAATAACCAAATTGAATAACTAATTTATGCACATGACCATAACAATAATTGTGGTAAGGGATTCATATGTTCTCATGCTTAACCACGGCAAATATGACTTAAATAGGCATGCAACCAATACAAAATATAATAAATAGTGATCCTACTACTTTTTTCTTTCTCCCTTTCTCTTACTCCTTCTTGGTGTCTCTTTGGCGGGTTTGGACACAAATCAAATCCTATAAATTAGGGAAAACCATATTGAAGATGCCTATACTTTCTTTCAATTTTTAATTTGGTACCTATGTGTTTTTTTCCTTTCAATTAAACATTTAATTTTATCTTTTTAGTAATATTAACTCTTGTAACTTTGTTCTATTGATATTTTTAGTTTATACATAAGGATTAATAATGTTAATAGAACAAAATTAAAAGATTTAGTTAAGAACAAAAAACACATAGGTACCAAATTAAAAATTGAAACAAAGTATAAGTACCTCCAATATGGTTTTCCCAATTATGTGTGTGTGTGTGACAGGTCAGTATATAAACTTTTTGTTCATTTTCTTTATGCATAATTAACCTTTACCAACCGCCAAACTCACGTTACTTTTAGCTCTTTAATTGTTGCTATTTCCTTAACTTTGTTATTTTCTATATATGTAATTCCTTCTTTACTATTATAAATATCTCTTAGGGCCTACTATAAATATATATTAGGAGTATAGCTGGGAATACGGGCCAACCCGCGGGTTGCGGGCCAGCCCGCCACAACTCGCGGGTTATGCGGTGTGGGCTAGAGCAGCTCGCATTTTGGCAGGTTAGAAAAGTCCCAACCCTAACCCGCCACAGCAAGTTGGCGGGCCAGCCCGCTAGCCCGCCATCTTTTTTTTTTTAATTCTCTATTTTTAAATCTTATTTTTATTTAATTTTTTAAACTAATAAATAGTGATCCAAAATTTCAAAAGTAATCACAAGTATAAATTATATTTAACCACATTTAAAATAGTCAATATAAATATAAAACAATATATTACAAATATTTTACATGACTAACATTCAACATCAACTTATCAAGTGATAAATTTTATAATTTTTTTATACAAATGTCATGTTTGATACAAAACACTATCTCTTAATAAATTAGAAGTGCATTTATCTAACTTTTTTTAAAGTTCATTCACCTTATTTTTCTAAAATACTTTTTTTCTATAATAAATATTATCTTATATTTGATTGTAGTTATTAAATTTTTGCTACAAATATGGTATGCTTATTTTTAAAAAATATTTGTTGTTTACATATGTATTATGTAACATGAAAATTGAGATATAAATGAGAGAAGAAAAATTTCAAATATAATAATATATTATTTATATGAAAAATTTAAAAAAAAAAAAAAGGTGACGGGTTAGGCGGGCCAACCCGCCAACCCGCGGGCTATACGGTGCGGGCTAGAGCAGCTTGCATTTTGGCGGGCTGACAAAATGCCAACCCTAACCCGCTCTTTTATGGCGGGTTGGCGGGCTGGCCCGCGGGCCCCAACCCATATTCCCGACTCTAATTAGAAGTGGTTTGGGGATTTTGAACACTCACTTCTAGTTTAGTATCCCCAAAACAGTAAAGAATTCTTAAATTTCAGCTTTCCAAATTTCCATCGTATTCTTACTTCAATAAATGAAGTTTAAGCCTTGACTTTCAATAATCCAATTTACTATAACAACCATAACCATGCATACATACAATATAGCATTTTCTTAACCCCATGTCATAATAAGTTCACCGGTTTAAAGCAATTACCATTATATATACCTATTGAAATACTCATTTTTAATAAATTTGAATTCTTTCCTTGAATAAAATCAGCTGGTCGAACAGAGTTTGGGGGGGGGGGTTAACTTAAGTCACTTAATCTTCCGTTACTACCAAGGAGCATCTAGGCCATTTTATTACTGAGTTTATCACTTTATAGCAATCATATCCTATTTTAGAAGCTTCAACCTTTCAATTTTATATTATACATCCATCCTCAGATGTTCAACATCTCTAAAAAAATATTCTAGCTTCAAGATCAAGTTTTAAATCTTTATTTCAGTTTCTAATTAAGCATAATTCAAGCATATAAAATGACCATTATTCTTTTAGGAGCTAATATCTCCTAAGATTGTGAATGGTCGGTGTGACGGTATACTGAGATGTCCGTAAGATATGTCACTACAAAAAAAAAATCAAATTAGTGACGAAAAATGGAATTTCCGTCATTAATTAAAATTAGTGACAGATTAGTGACAAAATTTAGTTACCGACGGAACTAGCAACGAAATTTTTTCATCACTAATTCCACTGTCACTAATTATTCAGTGACGGAATTCAAAATTTCATTGCTAATTATTGATTGATTAGAGACAGAAATTAGTGACAAAAAATTTCTATCAGTAATCCATTGCTAATTAGTCAGGGATATTGTAACACCCCAAATTCTCTAACTTAGGATGAGCAGAAAAGAGAAAATTCATTAAAATTATTTAATGGCCAAATAAAATTGGGAAAAATTATGGAATATTGATTTTCAGGGTTTAGAGATATTTTGGAAAAGTTATTTCCCCAAAAATGGCTTAAATAATTTTAATAGATAATTTTAAGAGAAAAATGGTTTATTTTCTTAGAAAATTATTGAAAAATACCTAGAGATTTGTATTTAATCTTAACATTTTAGGATAACCATTTGAGATAGTAAAGAAGGTAATTGAGGCATAAAATCCTTAAAATGATTTAAGGATTAATTGTTGGAATAAATGGCTATTTTCTTGGATAATTGAATAAAAATAGTTAGAATAGGATTTTGATCCAAAAAATTTTATGGGAATTAATTTAAGGGTCAAATAAGCTATTGGATAAGGGAATTTCAAA